GTAGTCTAGGCGGGATGTAATCAGAGCGTGGACTACCATGGCCAATTATGTAGAATTTGTAACAATGAAAACACATCCTGCCTATCAGATATTTCCATTACGATTTGTAATAGTAGCAAAATTAGAGTTATAAAGGAGCAACGAAAATAATTTTATGGTTGGGGGTCACCACAACATGAGGAAGCATATATAGGGTTCACGGTGTTAGAAAGGTTGAGAACAATTGTTTCATAGCTTGGAAACTGTTCATGTGAAAGGGACTTGGGTGTCTTCATGGACCACACGCTGAACAAGAGTCAGTGGTGTGATGCAGCAGCTCAAAAGGCCAATGCGATTGTAGGCTCCCCGGTCTGGAGCACATATTCCTCATTCTCCACTTGTATTGAGCTCAATGGGTATACTATGCTTTTTCCAGCGGCACAGTGCTCCTGCTTACTATTACTACAAAATCACACCTGAGAAGTAACAGAGACAGAGGCACGATTTCAAGCCAGTAGAGGCACATTTGGAAACTCCTTTCCAAAACTGTCTTCCTTCCAAGCAACCTGGCATGTGTTTACAAGACCTGCCATGGAAAAACACTGCATTGCTTCACCTGGGGCCCTTCCATGCTACACAAAGATTTCACTTCAACTGCTACATCCAAATCTGCCGAATGATGTCCCTCCCGCAAGAACAAAGTTTTTGCAGTTTAATAAACTTTTCCTGTGTCTTTATGATAGAACCAAGTAGGAAATGACATTGATAACCGAGGAACAGAAACTGTGTTACATAGCATAACAACAACAACTACTACTACAAGACAGTAAAGGTGGTCCCAGTGGTGATCGGCACACTGGGTGCAGTGTCTAAAGACCTTGGCCTGCACTTAAAAACAATCGACGCTGACAAGATTACCGTCTGCCAGCTGCAAAACGCCACCTTACTGGGATCTGCACGCATTATTTGCTGATACATCACACAGTCCTAGACAATTGGGAAGTGTCCAAAATGTGATCCAATACAACAGCCAGCAGAGTGTGTGCTGTGGATTTATCTCGTTGTGTTTCAAATAATAATAATAATAATAATAATAATAATAATAATAATAATAATTGCAGCCCAGGAGCAAGCCATCAGAACCAATGCAATTAAGGCCAGGATTGAAAAATCAGCGGATGACCCAAAATGCAGACTGTGCAAGGAAGCTGATGAAACTATGGACCATCTCCTCAGCTGCTGCAAGAAGATCGCACAGATGGACTACAAACAAATACACAACTCTGTGGCCCAAATGATTCACTGGAACTTATGTCACAAGTACCACCTGCCAGCAGCAAAGAATTAGTGGGATCATAAACCCGCAAAGGTTGTGGAAAATGAACATGCAAAAATACTGTGGGACTTTTAAATCCAGACTGGCAAAGTTTTGGAACACAATACACTAGACATCACGATTGTGGAAAAGAAAAAAGTCTGGATTATTGATGCCGCCATACCGGGTGACAGTCGCATTGAGGAAAAACAACAGGAAAAACTCAGCCGCTATCAAGACCTCAAAATCGAACTGCAAAGGCTCTGGCATAAACCAGTACAGGGGGTCCCAGTGGTCATTGGCGCACTGGGTGCCGTGCCAAAAGATCTCAGCCGGCATTTGGAAACAATAAACATCGACAAAATCACGATCTGTCAACTGCAAAAGGCCACCTGACTTGGATCTGCGCACATCATTCGAAAATACATCACACAGTCCTAGACGCTTGGGAAGTGTCCGACTTGTGATTTTGTGATACAAAATCCAGCATACAGATCTCGTTTGCTGTGACATACTGTGCTTTTCTGTCAACAACAACAACAACAACAACAATAATAAATACATCACACAGTTCTAGACGCTTGGGAAGTGTTCGACTTGTGATTTTGTGATACAAATCCAGCATATAGATCTCATTTGCTGTGACATACTGTGCTTTTGTGTCAATAATAATAATAATAATAATAATAATAACAACAACAACAACAACAACAACAACAACAACAACAACAAGCCAGTAAATGTGGTCCCAGTGGTGATCGGCACACTGGGCGCAGTGCCTAAAGACCTTGGCCTGCACTTAATACAATCGGTGCTGACAAGATTACCATCTGCCAGCTGCAAAAGGCCACCTTACTGGGATCTGCATGCATTATTTGCTGATACATCACACAGTCCTAGACACTTGGGAAGTTTCCGACGTGTGATCCAATACAACAGCCAGCAGAGTGTTTGCTGTGGACTCATCTTGTGGTGTTTCTAATAATAATAATAATAATAATAATAATAATAATAATAATAATAATAATACATCACACAGTCCTAGATGCTTGGGAAGTGTTCAACTTGTGATTTTGTGTCAGTAAAAGAATAATAATAATAATAATAATTATTATTATTATTATTATTATTTCTGGTATTTCTACCCTGTCTCTTCTCTACCCCCGAAGGGGGACTCAGGACGACTTACAATTTGGCAGCGCTTCGATGCCACTTCAAATAAACAATTACAATAATACAACAACCATTAAAATATATAAAGTATTAATTAAAAACAGTACATAAAGCATTAACACAATAAACAGTATCATCAGCTGTCACGCCATTCCAGTCAATTTCCAACCAAAGTGCTAATTATGTCTGCTGTCCAAAAGCCTGGTACCAAAATAATAATAATAATAATAATAATAATAATAATAATAATAATAATAATAATAATAGTCAACTGCAAAAGGCCACCTTACTTGGATCATTTGTCCTAGACGCTTGGGAAGTGTTCGACGTGTGGTTTTTTGATACGAAACCCAGCATATAGATCTCATTTGCTGTGACGTACTGTGCTTTTTGTGTCAGTAAAATAATAATAATAATAATAACAACAACAACAAAGGCCATCCAGCCTTTGTAATAATAATAAGTTTTGGAGCACAATACACCAGACCTGATGATTGTAAAAAAAATACCAAGTATGAATAATTGATGTTGCAATCCCAGGCAACAACAGGATTGAAGAGAAAAAAACTGGAAAAGCTGACACATTATGAGGATAGTGGTGATCGGCACACTGGGTGCAGTGCCTAAAGACCTTGGCCTACACTTAAACACAATCGGCACTGACAAAATTACCATCTGCTAACTGCAAAAGGCCACCTTACTGGGATCTGCACGCATTATTCGCCGATACATCACACAGTCCTAGACACTTGGGAAATGTCCGACGTGTGATCCAATACAACAGCCAGCAGAGTGTCTGCTGTGGACTCATCTTGTTGTGTTTCAAATAATAATAATAATAATAATAATAATAATAATAATAATAATAATAATAATAATAATAGCAAATGCCATCCAGTCTTTGTAATAATAATAAGAGTTTTGGAGAACAATACACCAGACCTGACAATTGTGGGGAAAAACAAAGTATGGATAATGGATGTTGCAATCCCAGGCAACAGCAGAATTGATGAGAAGCAACAGCAAAAGTTTATATGATACAAGGTTTTAAAGATTGAACTACAAAGACTCTGGCACAAGCCAGTCAGAGTGGTCCCCGTGGTGATTGGCACACTGGGTGCAGTGCCTCAAGACCTTGGCCTGTACTTAAAAACAATCAGCACTGACAAAATTACCACCTGTCAGCTGCAAAAGGCCACCCTTCTCAGATCACAGTCCTAGATATTTGGGAAGTGTCCAACGTGTGATCCAATACAACAGCCAGCAGAATGATCTTGTTTGCTGTGGACTCATCCTGTTGTGTTTAAAATAATATTTATTTATCGTGTCATCTGCAACCAGAACATTGTATTACATTTCTAACAGAACAAAACAAACCAACAAATTAAAAAAAAACACAAATTTTGCAACTTGGTAGTTGGTTAAATGTCCTTTGACCAGTATCTGGCCACTTGGAGTGCCTCTGGTGTTGCCGCAAGAAGGTCCTCCATTGTGCATGTGGCAGGGCTCAGGTTGCATTGCAGCAGGTGGTCAGTGGTTTGCTCTTCTCCACACTCGCATGTCGTGGATTCCACTTTGTAGCCCCATTTCTTAAGATTGGCTCTGCATCTCGTGGTGCCAGAGCGCAGTCTGTTCAGCGCCTTCCAAGTCGCCCAGTCTTCTGTGTGCCCAGGGGGGAGTCTCTCATTTGGTATCAGCCATTGATTGAGGTTCTGGGTTTAAGCCTGTCACTTTTGGACTCTCGCTTGCTGAGTGTTCCAGCGAGTGTCTCTGTAGATCTTAGAAAACTATTTCTTGATTTAAGTCGTTGACGTGCTGGCTGATACCCAAACAGGGATGAGCTGGAGATGTCTCTGCCTTGGTCCTTTCACTATTGGCTGCTAGTTCCCGGCGGATGTCAGGTGGTGCAATACCGGCTAAGCAGTGTAATTTCTCCAGTGGTGTAGGGCGCAGACACCCCGTGATAATGCGGCATGTCTCATTAAGAGCCACATCCACTGTTTTAGTGTGGTGAGATGTGTTCCACACTGGGCATGCGTATTCAGCAGCAGAGTAGCATAGCGCAAGGGCAGATGTCTTCACTGTATCTGGTTGTGATCCCCAGGTTGTGCCAGTCAGCTTTCGTATAATATTGTTTCTAGCGCCCACTTTTTGCTTGATGTTCAGGCAGTGCTTCTTGTAGGTCAGAGCACGGTCCAAAGTGACTCCCAGGTATTTGGGTGCGCTGCAATGCTCCAGTGGGATTCCTTCCCAGGTAATCCTCAGAGCTCGGGATGCTTGTCTGTTCTTAAGGTGAAAGGCGCATGTCTGTGTTTTAGATTGATTAGGGATCAGATGGTTTTCCCTGTAATAGGCAGTTAGAGCACCTAGAGCTTCTGTTCTACCATCTCAAAGCTCCCTGCTTGGGGGGTAATGGCACGATCATCAGCATAGATGAAGCTCTCTGTCCCTTCTGGCAGTGGCTGGTCATTTGGTTTAAAATAATAATAATAATAATAATAATAATAATAATAATAATAATGGCAAGGCTTACCATTGTTACAGTGTCGAACACAATCTTGGAAGACAGCTCGCCACTTCTCTTGCTCCTTGCCGGTCATGACGCAGAAGTAGTAATGCCGAGCGTACGGGTGCCAAAGGATGAGCGGGAACTCGGTGGGGCATTTCAGGATGGAGGCATTGCCCGATTTGGGCGTGGGGCCTAAAGCAAACCAAAAGGAAGGACGATGGGTTTCTTCAACTGCATGTACCCATATATACTCAAGTATAAGCTGACCCGGATATAAGCCGAGACACTTAATTTGACCACAAAACCTGAGAAAACGTATTGACTCGAGTATAAGCCAAGAGTGGGAAATGCAGCAGCTACGGGTTAATTTCAAAATAAAAATAGATACCAATAAATTACATGAATTGATTCATCAGTAGGTACAATGTTTATGAATATTTACATAAAACTGTAAGATAAGCCTTAAAGGATACATAAATGTGTTTATGTATCCTTCTAATAATAATGAGAGGAAAATAATAAATGTAATAATAACAAAAATAATAAAGTAGAATAATAAATATAATAATAGAATAAAATAATAAATGTAATAATAAAAATAGAGGAAAATAATAAAAATAAAAAATAAATTTTTTACATGTAATTATTAAGTGGAATAATATAATATTTTTTATAAAAATAGAGTAAAATAATAAATGTAATTTATTACATTTAATTATTAAGTGGAATAATAAATATAATAATAGAATAAAATAATAAATGTAATAAAAATAATACTAAGAGTAAAATAATGTAAATGGAATAGCAACAATAATAATAGAGTAAAATAGTAAGTGTAATAATAAAAATAGAGTAAAATAATAAATGTAATAATAATAGAGTAAAATAATAAATGTAATACAAATAATAAAGTGGAGCAATACATATAATAATAGAATAAAATAATAAATATAATAATAAAGTAAAATAATAAATGTAATAATAATAATAAGAAGGAATAATACATATAATAATAATAGAGTAACATAATAAATGTAATAATAATAGAGTAAAATAATAAATGTAATAATAATAGAGTAAAATAATAAATGTAATAATAATAGAGTAAAATAGTAAATGCAATAATAAAAATAGAGTAAAATAATAAATGTAATAATAATAATAAAGAGGAATAATACATATAATAATAATAATACAATAAAATGATAAATATAATAATAAAAATAGAGTAAAATAATAAATGTAATAATAATAAAGTGGAATAATACAAATAATAATAGAATAAAATAATAAATATAATAATAGAGTAAAATAATAAATGTAATAATAAAATAGAGTAAAATAATAAATGTAATAATAATAATAATAAAGAGGAATAATACATATAATAATAGAATAAAATAATAAATGTAATAATAGTAGAGTAAAATAATAAATGTAATAATAATAATAAAGTGGAATAATACATATAATAATAATAGAATAAAATAATAAATATAATAATAGTAGAGTAAAATAATAGTAGAGTAAAATAATAAATGTAGTAATAAAAATAGAATAAAATAATAAACATAATAATAATAAGAGTTTCTGCTGTGAACTCATCTTGTTGTGTTTCAAATAATAATAATAGAGTAAAATAATGTAAATGGAATAATAACAATAATAATAGAGTAAAATGGTAAATGTAATAATAAAATGGAGTAAAACAATAAATTTAATAATAATAATAATAATACAGTAAAATAATAAATGTAAAATAATAATAATAATAATAATAATAATAATAATATCAGAGTAAAATAATAAATAACTTTAAACTGAAGGGGGCTTTTTCAGCCTAAAAAAAGGGCTGAAAAACTCAGCTTATACTCAAGTATATACGATAATTAATATTTTCAGCTCATATTTCAGAGGCCACAAATATTTCAGGCAACTTTATGGCATCGATGGAGTCACAAGTCACTAGAAAAAGAGGCTTAGTTCAAACTCTGCAAATCAAACGGAGATGCAAAGCAACAGCAGCCAAAGATAACTGGAATAATCTTCTTGCAGCAGGAAGTGGAAAGCCTCGCTCTGTCTGCCGTCCTCCCCTTGAGGCTAAGCAAATCTGCAGCCCATCTGCCACTTCTGGATTCAATCGCTGACGGCAAATTCCCCAGAGATCAGGAAAAATGGGAAGGCAAAGTATCTGGATGGCTTCCTTGTGCTGCTCTCCTCCAGAACGACAGAGCAATTTGGAGACTCACCTGGCAGGTTGCTATTGAGCAGCTCCAGGTACTGTTCCAGGGAAGTGAGGATCTTGTAGCCGGCGCTGTTGATCAGGATGCGAGGCTGAAGCCCCCTCTCAAAGGCCTATGAGAAGGGAGAAGAAGACACATTTAGTCAAAGACATTGCATACCAGGGATTTTTTTCCCCGAGTCAGGAGCGACTTGAGAAACTGCAAGTTGTTTCTGGTGTGAGAGAATCATAGAATCAAAGAGTTGGAAGAGACCTCATGGGCCATCCAGTCCAACCTCCTGCCAAGAAGCAGGAATATTGCATTCAAATCACCCCTGACAGATGGCCATCCAGCCTCTGTTTAAAAGCTTCCAAAGAAGGAGCCTCCACCACACTCCGGGGCAGAGAGTTCCACTGCTGAACGGCTCTCACAGTCAGGAAGTTCTTCCTCATGTTCAGATGGAATCTCCTCTCTTGTGGTTTGAAGCCATTGTTCCGCATCCTAGTCTCCAAGGAAGCTGAAAACAAGCTTGCTCCCTCCTCCCTGTGGCTTCCTCTCACATATTTATACATGGCTATCATATCTTCTCTCAGCCTAAACATGCCCAGCTCCTTAAGCCGCTCCTCATAGGGCTTGTTCTCCAGACCCTTGATCAGAATTGGCCGTCTGCAAGGACGTTGCTCTGGGGACCTTGCTCGGATGTTTTGGTGTTTTCCCATCCTTGTGGGATACTTCTCTCATGTCGTCGCATAGGAAGCTGGAGCTGACAGAGGGAGCTCATCCATGCTCTTCCCGGATTCGAACCTCCGACCTGTCAGTCTTCGGTCCTGCCGGCACAAGGGTTTAACCAATGTGGTACAGTGGGTTAAACCATTGAACTGTTTAATCTGCTGACCTAAAAGTTGGTAGTTCGAAGCTGCGAGTCAGAGTGAGCTCCCGCTGTTAGCTCTAGCTCAAGCCAATCTAACAGTTCGAAAACATACAAATGTGGGTCTGTTTATTAAATAGCAATGTAAATAATGTTTTGGTTGGGGGTCACCACTGGATTAAGAAACTGGATTAAGGGGTCATTGCATTAAGGAAGGTTGAGAAACACTGGCATACACAGATAGGCAAACATTCAGTGCCTTAATACAGTGGAATGAAATACAAATACACAGAGCAAAGGTAAAGGCTTCCCCTTTCATTTCCGGCTTTCTGGAGGTGATGCTCAACTCTGGCCATGGGGAGGTGCTCTTGTTCCATTTCCAAGCCAAGGAGCCTGTTGTCTGTAGACATCTCCTGGTCGTGTTTGTTGTCATTGCTGCATGGGTGCCTTTATTATGTTCCCATCAAAGCGGTACCTACTGCTGTCATTTTGCTACTGTTATGAATCGTCATGTAAATATCTGAACTGAAAGCTGTATTTTCATTCACTGGACCAATTTTGGCACAAATATCTGATACGCCCCAATTTGAATACTGGTGGAGTTGGGGGAGGGGATTGATTTTGTCATTTGGGAGTTGTAGTTGCTGGGATTCAAAGTTCACTTACAATCAAACAGCATTCTGAACTCCACCAACAATGGAATTGAACCAAACTTGGCACACAGGACTCCCATGACCAACAGGAAATACTGGAAGGGTCTAATGGAAATTGACCTTGAGTTTGGGAGTTGTAGTTCACCTATATCCAGTGGACTCAAAAAATGATGGATCTGGACCAAATTTGGCACGAATACTCAATAGGCCCAAATGTGGACACTGGTGGAGTTTGGGGAAAATAGATCTTGACATTTGGGAGTTGTAGTTGCTGGGATTTATAGTTCACCTACAATCAAAGAGCTTTTGAACTCAACCAACAATGGAATTGAAACAAACTTGGCCTGCAGAACTCCCATGATCAACAGAAAATACTCGAAGGGTCTAATGAGAATTGACCTTGAGTTTGGAGTTGTAGTTTACCTACATCCAGTGGACTCAAAAAACGATGGTTCTGGACCAAACTTGGCAAGAATATTCAATATGCCCAAATGTGGACACTGGTGGAGTTTGGGGAAAATAGACCTTGACATTTGGGAGTTGTAGTTGCTTGGATTTATAGTTCACCTACAATCAAAGAGCAGTCTGAACTCCACCAATGATAGAACTTGGCACACAGAACTGGAATGGATTTTATTGTAATTTTGTATTGCTTACTATATTTTATGTTTTATGTATTTTATTTGCTGTTGTTTTGTGTTTCAGTTTTATTTTCTTGTATTGCCTTGTTGGACTTGGCCTCATGTAAGCCACCCCGAGTCCCCATCGGGGAGATGGTGGCAGGGTATAAATAAAGATTATTTATTATTGAATGACCAACAGAAAATACTAGAAAGGTTTGGTGGAGTTTGGGGAAAACAGACCTTGACATTTGGGAGTTGTAGTTGCTGGGATTTATAGTTAACCCACAATCAAAGAGCATTCTGAACCCCACCAACGATGGAATTGAACCAAACTTGGCACACAGGACTCCCATGACCAACAGAAAATACTGAAAGGGTTTGGTGGGCAGTGTCCTTTAGTTTTGGAGTTGTAGTTCACCTACATCCAGAGTGCACTGTGGACTCAAACAATGATGGATCTGGACCACACTCTACAAGAATACTCAATATGCCCAAATGTGGACACCGGTGGAGTTTGGGGAAAATAGACCTTGACATTTGGGAGTTGTAGTTGCTGGGATTTATAGTTCACCTACAATCAAAGAGCATTCTGAACCCTACCAATGATGGAATTGAACCAAACTTGGTACATAGAACTCCCACAACCAGTTCTGGAAGGTTTCGTGGCCGTTGACCTTGACTTTGGAAGTTGTAGTTCACCTACATCCAGAGAGCACTGTGGACTCAAACAATGATGTATCTGGATCAAACCTGACACTAATACTCAATATGCCCAAATGTGAACACTGGTGGAGTTTGGGGGAAACAGACCTAGACAATTGGGCCAAACACAGAAAATACTGTGTTTTCCGATGGTCTTTGGCACCCCCTCTGACACCCCCTCGCAACCCCTTCAGGGGTCCCGATCCTCAGGGTGAGAAACATTGGTTTAGGGGAAAGGAAAAGCTTCTCTTCATGATTGGGACCTCTTTTACTCCACAACGAAGTCCTCCTCACCAGCTTGTTCTCGTAGAGCACCAGCCCATAGTTGTGGGGCACGAGGCTGAAGCGGTTCCTCCACTTCTTGTTCTCCTCCAAGTATTGGAAGAGGTTCCCGGAGAAAATGGTGCATTCCTCCAGCGGGACCTAGAAGTAGAGAGAGAGAAAGACTCATGAGATGGGAAAGAGGTTGAATTCCAATAGGTTGAGCCTCCGTTTCCGCCCCCACAAACTTTCTGTGTTGGTGCATTCCCAATGACATCAGAAAAGCAGTGCTTTCCGGTCACACCAGAACCGACCTGGGTCTTTCCCCAGGAGCCCTCTGTGCTGGTACGGCTGTACCAGAAGCTCAAATTTCCTTTCTTTGCATGGTTAATTGCTTGGGTTTGATTTGGCCATGCCTTTTGCAGGTGGTTGGTTCCTTTTAGGCTGCAGTTATGGGGCCTGCCACCTGCCTATCATCATTATGTTCTTTAATTCCGCCCCTTTCCCCAGGGTTCAGGAAGGAAAGGGAGCCATTTTAGCTCAGTCTTACAGTTGAAACTTAGCTACAGGACGTGAATCAGCTCCACCTGCAGAGAAGCTTCGTTTCTTACGAAATTCCAGGGGGAAACAGTTCCAAAGGACTCCAGCTGGAGAATCTACAAAGCCTTGACTGGTAGGTCTAGTCGGGACCCAAGAAGCAGTTTGGAGCTGGGAGTAGAGCCCACACCTCCAAAGTTTAGAAAGTAGATTGCCCAAGGAGGGGTTAAAAAAGGTTTTCCTTCTTAAAGAAAGAAATAGTTCTCCAAGCAAGGTGCCTGTCCTTTGTAGACAAGTTAAGAAGCATTGGTTTGATTTGTTGAAGATCTGAGAAGTATTTGTTTGTTTTGTTGAAGACCTAAGCAATAATAAAGGACCTTGTTAAACTTTTCAATCTAAAGACTTTTGTATAGGAAAATCCTTACAGCCTCTCAGCTGAGGCACCCCAGCTTCCCACTGGGCACAAAGAGGACGTCCTGTTCAAAAGCCAATTGCTATAGGCCCAGCGCGCGACAGCACACCCTCCCTTCTCCTTCTTGCTGACTCAGGCAGTCTTGAACCTCTCAAACATTTCTTTATTATGGTCACGGACCACTCTTTCGCCATTTTAGGAGTCTCTCCACCCAGACCTCCTTATGAGTCAGGAACACTTGCTTCCTGAGCTCGTTCGTGTCACCGAGGTCCATAAACAGGAACAAGCAGAGTTTCCCTCTCCACCCCAGACGCTTGTCTTGTGGGCAAACATTGTGACACGCCATCCCAAAAGCAAGGCAAAGATTAAATAACCAAGTAAACAAATAAGGATGAGAACGGAATATTTGCCATTTTTTGTTGAGTCTCCTCGGGGAGATAGGGCGGGTTACAAATAAAGTACGAGAGTCATCCGGAAAGTAAAGTTACAAGATTTTTTTTAAAACACAAAGCATGAATATCTATATAAATAAAAATGTAAAGTCCGTTTCTGGGATTAACAGAACTCCAAAACCACTGGGCGAATTGACACCAAATTTGGACACAAGACACCTGCACTGTGGACTCAAACAATGATGGATCTGGACCAAACTTGTCACAAATACTCAATATGAGTAACACAGATAGATTTAACAGTGGGATATGGAGCCCCTGGTGATGCGGTGGGTTAAACCCCAGTGCTGGCAGGACTGAAGACTGACAGGTCGCAGGTTCGAATCCGGGGAGAGCGCGGATGAGCTCCCTCTATCAGCTCCAGCTCTCCTACCTAGATCAGTCACAGTCTGGTTTCAGGCCTGGTCACGGCACTGAGACAGCTTTGTTCGCCTTGGTGGATGACCTCCATAGAGAGCTGGACAGGGGGAATGTGACCTTGCTGGTTCTCTTGGACATCTCAGCGGCTTTCGATACCATCGATCATGGTATCCTTCTGGGTCGCCTCTCTGGGATGGGTCTTGGGGGCACGGTTTTGTCGTGGCTCCGATCCTTCCTGGAGGGTCGATCCCAGATGGTGAAGCTGGGAGACGCCTGCTCGGACCCCTGGCCTTTGACCTGTGGGGTCCTGCAAGGCTCTATTCTGTCTCCCATGCTTTTTAACATCTACATGAAACCGCTGGGAGAGGTCATCCGGAGTTTTGGAGTTGGGTGCCATCTCTACGCAGATGACACACAACTCTACTACTCTTTTCCACCTAATTCCAAGGAGGCCTCTCGGGTGCTAGACAAGTGCCTGGCCGCTGTGTCTATCTGGATGAGGACGAACAAGCTGAAGATCAATCCCGACAAGACAGAGGTCCTCCTGGTCGATCGCAAACCGGATCGGGGTATAGGGTGGCTACCTGTGTTGGACGGGGTTACACTCCCCCTGAAGCCACAGGTCCGCAGTTTGGGAGTCCTCTTGGATTCATCGTTCACGCTTGAGGCTCAGGCGTCGGCGGTGTCCAGGAGGGCTTTTGCACAATTGAGGCTCGTGCACCAACTGTGACCGTCCATGCCTTGGTCACCTCTAGATTGGACTACTGTAATGCTCTACGTAGGGCTGCCCTTGAAAACAGCTCGAAAATTCCAACTGGTCCAACGGGCTGCGGCCAGGATGTTAACTGGTGCTCCTTACAGAGAGAGGTCAACCCTCCTGTTCAAGGAGCTCCGCTGGCTGCTGTTTATCTTCCGAGCCCAATTTAAGGTGCAGGTGCTTACCTACAAAGCCCTAAACGGTTTGGGACCACCCTACCTGCGTGACCGCATCTCCGTTTATGAACCCACATGCTCACTTCGTTCATCCGGAGAGGCCCTGCTCGCGATCCCGCCTGCGTTGCAGGCACGTTTGGTGGGGATGCGAGACAGGGCCTTTTCTGTGGTGGCCCCCCGACTTTGGAACACCCTCCCCAAAGATCTTAGACAGGCCCCTACGTTGGCAGTCTTTAGAAAGAACTTGAAGACCTGGCTGTTCCGATGTGCCTTTCCAGAATAGGAAAACTCCAATAACAAGTCCCAGAAGCACTTTATTAGAATTAAGATTGCTGGCACACTGCACTTACCCTATAATCCTTACATATCACCTGTCACATCGGCACTTTTAACCTTGTACCCATTACTCTGGCCCGGCCCAGTTTTATTGTGTCTTGGTGTATTGTTTATTGCTTGTTGTTTAATATTGCTTTAACTGTTTTTAATTTGCTTTAGGTTGTGTATTGTTATGTTGTGTTTTGAGGCCTTGGCCTTTGTAAGCCGCATCAAGTCCTTCGGGAGATGCTAGCGGGGTACAAATAAAGATAATAATAATAATAATAATAATAATAATAATAATAATAATAATCGGGGACATAAGAGAAGCCTCCCACAAGGATGGTAAAAACATCAAAACATCCGGGCGTCCCCTGGGCAACGTCCTTGCAGACGGCCAATTCTCTCATACTAGAAGCAACTTGCAGTTTCTCAAGTCACTCCTGACACGACAAAAAAACAAACAAACAGAAAACAGTGGGATGAAGGTAGTAAAATCATCCATTTCATTTCAAAATGGGGTATGACTGAGCAATATAATAACCATACTCTACCAAACACTTCGCTGCTTCAATGTGATGAACTCCCCTGTGTTGCTTTGCGGTTTCAATCAACCAAAGCAGATGCTCTTTCAGCACAGAGACGTTTTCCTTTCCTCACTCCTATCTGCGGGTCACTTTGGGAAATCTGGGTTGCAAAAAGCAATGCCGGGAAACTGCAAAAAAAGCAACACGAGGGAAAGCCTCGCTTCCATACAGATGCGTGTGTGTTTGTATGACACACACAGAGAAGTATCCGGTAACAAGCCAGCCAGTGTCCTTCCTCATTGATCAAGGCTGGGCTTAACCACAAGGGCAGGGCATCTAGAAGGCGCTTATTAAATTCTAGATGTTTACTTGCTGTGGGTGTCCCACGGTACACAAAATCAGCCAAGGACAGGCTTTAAGCCGCAATTCAGAATCTAAAAAGCATCCTCTCCCTTCAAGAAGCAGGATCCTAAGCAGACAGCAACACATTATAACTCAGGATTGAAACAGCAGCAAACGACAGAAGAATCTGCTGAAAAGGGCAGAGAGATGTTAAGAGTCAAGGCGGAAAGCTTGTTTATTAGGCTTGTGCAATCCGGGTAAACCTTGACCAGTTTCGTGTCCTGGATTTCGGTGGGGGCCCCAATCACAGAATCATAGAGTCGGAAGAGACCTCATGGGCCATCCAGTCCAACCCCATTCTGCCAAGAAGCAGAAAAATTGCATTCAAAGCACCCCTGACAGATGGCCATCCAGCCTCTGCTTAAAAGCTTCCAAAGAAGGAGCCTCCACCACACTCCGGGGCAGAGAGTTCCACTATTTATCGTGTCAGGAGCAAACCAAACAGTTGTATTGCATTTTTTAACAAACAAACAAAACAAAGTTTGCAAGCTTGGTAGTTGATTAAATGTCCTTTGACCAGTATCTGGCCACTTGGAGTGCCTCTGGTGTTACTATAAGAAGGTCCTCCATTGTGCATGTGGCAGGGCTCAGGTTGCATTGCAGCAGATGACCTGTAGTTTGCTCTTCTCCACACTCGCATGTCGTGGATTCCACTTTGTGGCCCCATTTCTGAAGGTTGGCTCTGCATCTCGTGGTGCCAGAGCGCAGTCTGTTCAGCGCCTTCCAAGTCGCCCAGTCTTCTGTGTGCCCAGGGGGGAGTCTCTCATTTGGTATCAGCCATTGATTGAGGTTCTGGGTTTGAGCCTGCCACTTTTGGACTCTCGCTTGCTGAGGTGTTCCAGCGAGTGTCTCTGTAGATCTTAGAAAACTATTTCTTGATTTAAGTCGTTTACGTGCTGGCTGATACCCAAACAGGGATGAGCTGGAGATGTCACTGCCTTGGTCCTTTCACTATTGGCTGCTACTTCCTGGTGAATGTCAGGTGGTGCAATACCGGCTAAGCAGTGTAATTTCTCCAGTGGTGTGGGGCGCAGACATCCCGTGATAATGCGGCATGTCTCATTCAGAGTCACATCTACTGTTTTAGTGTGGTGAGATGTGTTCCACACTGGGCATGCATACTCAGCAGCAGAGTAGCATAGCGCAAGGGCAGATCATAGAATCAAAGAGTTGGAAGAGACCTCATGGGCCATCCAGTCCAACCCCATTCTGCCAAGAAGCAGG